GGCTAGTTTTTTGTATTTTTAGTAAAGACGGGGTTTCACCATGTTAGCCAGGCTGGTCTCGATCTCCTGACCTCGTGATCCACCCGCCTCGGCCTCCCAAAGTGCTGGGATTACAGGCTTGAGCCACCACGCCCGGCCAAAGGCTAGAAATATTCTTATCTGCAGTCATGGAAAATAAAATGAAGTTTCTACATGGCACTAGCCTACAAATAAATGTAACTGAACTTATTCACTGCCTTTTCTTTGAAGTTCAAAGTTGATCACTCCAAGCAGCTGTTCCTCCATCACTAACAAATGGCTATAGAAATCATTATGTATATGGCCACTGATTTGGGAGAAGAGTCTTTTAATAACAAGAACAACGAGTTTATCCCTCCAGTATTTTTCCCACCCATAAAGCACTGACAAGACCACAGACTCCCTGTCACATAGTTAAAAATGTATGATTCTCCCGTAGCAGTAAAGACCATACTCACACTCAGATCTTGGTTTCTAAATATCAATCTCTATTGAAAGGAATAGGGGCTCCTTGAAGAAGTGGCTGATTCTAAAGTTGGGGCAGGAAAATGTAAGATGAACCAGGAGCATCTCATAGTGCCAGAGAGTACAGAAATGTTCCAACAAGGAAAAGGATCAGGGTTTGTCAAAGGCACAAAGAAGCTGACGTGAAAGAGCTCCCACTCACCAAAGCTGGACCAATTTGAGCAACAAAATAAATAAAGCATTATATTGTTACCAAAGTTTAAAGTAAACGTACAAATCCATAGTGATATAAATAAATGATTGAATGGATGGCTACATCAATAAGTAAATAAGAACAAGGAGACAAATCCCCCTACCTCACCTCTCGCCCTGACTGTGGGCTGGACTTGCTCCCAAACAGAACATAGAAAAAGACAAACAGTAATTTTACATTGAAGAAACCTGGCAAACACTACCTTAACCAAGCGATCACAATTTACATTGCCAGTGATAAGTCATGTTGAGATTCTATACCCCCAATGTGATGAGAAGGATACTCTACCACTGTGGTATTCTTTGTGAAAACTCATAACCCCAATTTAATCATGAGCAAAACATCAGACAAACCCAGAATGAAAGACACTACAAACTACCTAACCAGTACTCCTCAAAACTGTCAAGATTATGAAAAACCAGGAAACACTGAGAAACTCACAGACCAGAAGAGATGGAGCAAAGATAACTAAATGTAATGTAATCTCTTAGAGGGGATACTAGAAGAGGAAAAAGATATCAATGGAAAAACTGAAAAAAGCTGGATAAGCATGTAATTAATAGCAATGCAGCAATCTTTGTTTCTTAGTTTTGACAAATGTACCACCATGATGTGAAATGATAACTGTAGGGGAAATTGAAACAGGTGAGGGCTTCCTATATGGGAACTCTTTGTATTATCCTTACTATTGTATATAAATCTAGAATTACCCCAAAATGAAAATTTATTTTTCAAACTGTAACGGTTTAAATGTTTTTCAAAAAAAATTAGAAAAGTTTCAAATTTTCGGTTTCTTACATTCTCACTGAAAACAATTATTTTTGTCCTTTGTTAACATAAAATCTAAAAGTTCCGGGTTAGTCAAGCACTTGCTTAATAAATCATGGTATATGTACTCCCTGGCTGATGTTTCAAAGTAAAACCATACTTCTGGAACCAATAACTAAAACATTTCTGTCCGTGACTTAAACACAACAACAAAAATAGTACTTGACTGATGTAAACTTAAACATTTACACAGTAGTTGTAAATAAATATGATTTTTGTGTTTGGACATCTTGTACAATGTCATAAATGTGAAATGTTATTTTGCTAATTGAAATTTATTCATTCAACAAAACTTACGGTAGAAACAAGAAAAGACGCAATATGATTTCAACTTCCCCTCAATCCTTAGTCAATCAATAAATATTGGAGTTCTAAACTCATGCAAAACACTATTTTCCAGTGTTATAAGGAATACAAAAATGATGGTAGAATATTATGTCAATTATAAAGTGCTTTCCAGTTCATTATACTTGTTACTTCGAGTATTACAGAATAGTTCTCAGCTCAGGGACTGACCCGAGAGTTCTATGTCATTAATGTATTCATACAAACATCAATATCAACATCCACTTCAGCTGGACATTATTTTTATCTCCTTTTTACCAGCGTGAAAGAGGCTAAGTACTTGACCAGAGTCACCCAAATAGCAAGAGGTGAAGTCAAGGTTTGATCCAGATGTGTGGGATTCTATAGATCAGGCTCTTGACTGCCATTTTATACCCTTGCTCCTCCTGGGACAAGTGAAGGCAGCTGAAAGATGACAGCAAGGTCACAAGGCAAGGAGACAAAGGACCCGTTTGCCGCCTTGACAGCTTATGTCTCTATGGTTCCTTGTGCCTATGTCTACTCTGGTCCTTACCACATTGATTTTTTCTAAGTCTTTAAGAGAGATTCACTTTATTCACCTTTTTATTCTTCTAAGGCCATGGACATGGTCTAAAATACAGTTGACGTTCGATACAAACCCTAGTTAGAAAATAAACTATTACAAATATATAGAAAAACATTATATTAGAAAAATACAGACCACTCTTAATCCATCCTATGTCTATTATCTATTCACAGATATCTTGAGGATGATGATGATGGTCACGATAACTGCCTTCCATCTTAGCCCATGCTAATCTCTCAGTCCTGGAATGATATTCTTTCAGCTTGGATGTTACTTCCTCAGGGAAGCCTCTCGTGCATCCCCAGAACTGGGTCAGATTTCTCTCCTAGTGGACTCTCAGAACACTTTTCACTTGTATGTAATTTCCTGTTGACTTGTTGTCTTCCCCACTAGAATGAAATCTTTCCAAGTCTTGATTAACACTGTACTTCCAGCACCTGGCACCGTACCTGAAGCACCACGGTGTTTCTTTTTTTTTGCCATTAACATTTTTTTATATCTATATACACAAGATAACAGCATAAAAAATTTTTAAAGAGTTATACATACCAAAAGGTTATATGTACCAAAAAAGTCATTATGGATTTTTCCCTGTTTTTTTTCTTAACATTTTTTTTAAGTTCTGCGATACATGAGCAGAGTGTTCAGGTTTGTTATGGATATGGAGAGCATTAGGTGTTTCTTAAAACACCAAACGGCATGTTGCCCAGTGTGAAAGAATCCAGATGACAAAAATCAAAATTTAATAGAATTATTTAAGTACCCACTCTGACATCCTGATGTCAAGGCTAAAGCCATCATATTTTCAGAACTCTGTAGCCTCTTGTCTTTCAAGGAAATCACAACTTATTCTCTCTGCCACCAGATACCAGGCATATGTATTTCAATCAATATATATTTGCCAAGACATTCCTGTAGCAAATTTCGGATTCTAGGACATTAAGTAAAAATGTTATGGTCTATTATCTAGGAAGAGCATGATGGGGCTATAATTTACTCCTCAGCTTGCCTTCTACTCAGATCAAAAGCTGTGGCTTCTCCCAGACTGATGAGTCAGGATATTTTCATACATATCAGACAAGGTGAGAGTTGCCTTGTGATTGAGATGTTTCATCAGATATACAGATGGCCTGCTGGCGGTGTTTCAGTAGAAGCATCAGGGGTCAGAGGAGGCCTTTTCCATGTTGAATGAGAAATTCTTCATCTCTGGTGAGATTCAGGGACATCCTTATATTATGTGGATTTCAATATGCCTGCAATCTTACCTCATCTCTGGTAGCAGAGAGAATAAGTTGTGATTTCCTTGAAAGATAGAGGCTAGAGAGTCCTGAAAATAGAGTAGCTTTAGCCTTGAGAAGTGATTTACGCCAGGATGTCACAGCAGTACTTAGTTCTATTAAATTTTGATTTTTATGGTTTGGATTCCCTCACACTGGGCCACATTGCTGTTTGGTGTTTTCAGAAAGAGTCCTCTACTTCCCCCTTTCACTTCATTATCTCAATCAGGTTCATGCAGAGAAGAAGCTTACTGAACTCACTGCTGGTGCTGGTGTAGGCAAGTGCTGCTTTGGCAATCTGGGCTGACCTGGCTTGTCTACTAAGAACTCCTTCTCTAACCCTGGAGCAGGCTTCCATGCTGCTGTGGGCGTCCTTGCTGCTCTTTGGTAAGTGATTGAGAGGAGGCCTCTGCTTGCTGCAAAGCTGAGCCTCACCATGAGCAAAAGCCCTCTTTTCTGGGCTGCTGCAATTATGGATTTTTACTCCCATTTTAGAATAGCAGAAAATGAACAAAAAGGAAAGATAATGATTTACTGGTAGAAGGGGAAAAATGATAATGATTGATTTCCAAAGATGTATTTCTCATCTACTTTTGCTATTAATTGCCTACGGAAAATCATTTTACCCCCAAATGGACTTATTTTATTTATGTAAAAAGAAAACTATGGCTAGGTTCAGTCCCTAAGTCACAGAGCATGAGGACCCAGAGGAGAAGATGGACTGAGTCCTTTGTGAAGGACCAAGTCCTGATTGTGAACTCAGGTAGAAAGGATCATCTGCTGGGAATAGTTATTTCCTTCTCTGTATTCTAAGCTCAAACCTGCTCTGATGTTTGCAAAGAGCATGAGAAGAGAAGAGATAAGATGGTTTCCCTTTGATTTTTTTCTTCCTGCTTTTGTACCACTTGTCAGTGTTTGTACAGATGAGGCACTGATTTCCTAGTAGCTCAAGCTAGGGAATTAAAGAACAGTCAGTCTGTTGTACATTAAATATTTATTAAGCATATTTGTCTAGTTCCCACCTGATCCCCAGACCCCAACTAAGGGAAGACCTGTTAGTGTGATTGACATATGATGAGAACTAAGGAGTGAATGGATGGGTATACTTGGCATATCACACTGCTGGGCACCACAGAGGATATGGAGACCTGAAGGACAGAGATTCTGCCCTCAAGAGGTGACATTCTCAATAGAACCTCAATGTACATATGCAAGAACATCTGACTCGACAATAGGAGAAAAATATTACGCAAATAGTTATAGGATAATGTGTGAGGATGTCAATTAATTTTTGCTGAGCCCTGACCACATCCCACGTTTCTAAGGTTACGCCATGTATAAATTTATCCAATTCTCTAATATTTGATCTGGTGGAACTTTTATAACTCCCATTTACAAATGAGGAAATGAAGGCACAAAGATGTTGGTCTTATCCCTAAGGTTTATGCAGCTAGTACAGGATTCAAACCCATAATCTAACTTTGGAAGCTAGGCTTTTAACTACTACCCCCTACTGTCTGTCTCATTTTGAGTTCCAAATTAGCTATGATAATAAGTGTTCTGAGTCAAGAGAAGAGGGAGCAGCAGCAGCCCCATACTAAAAAATTAATGACAGCAGCCATTAATTGAAACCTTACAGATCTAACTCATTACAGTACTACTATGAGGTCGATTTTGTGAACCTCATTTTTCAAATGAGAAAATTGAGACTTGAAAGTTCATGTGGTTTGCCCTGGGTCATACAGCTAAAATTCACACCAGACCGTCTGAGCCCACAGCCTGAGCGTCCGGCCACTGTGTTTCCCCACTTCCCCAGGATGGGTGAAACGGAACGCGTTTCTCTTCCTCTTGGTTGGAAGTAGCATACGAGTGTGTGGGCTCTCAGGGTGAATAGTTTGGGACTCCTTGCCTATGCTGATGGCTGGCTCTTTACTCTCTTTCAGCTCCAGTCTGTGGACAATCTGGTAAGTCCTTATTTTCTTTGCTCCTTTATATCTGTAGATTTCCTAATAACTATATCTTATCTCAAATACTTACAGGAGTCCCCATTGTCCGTTTCATTCTTTTCCTGAGGGCTGCAGGGATGTGGAAACATCAGCTGGTGTGGTGACCCTGACTCTAAGAATCAGGCTATTTGGGGGTCACTCTCTTAAACCAAAACTGCCATTGTGCTGGATAAACATGGCAGGGCCTGGGATATATGTCACAGAGTCCACAGGAGGAGGAGCTGCCACCCTGCCTGATGTGGGATTCTAGCCAAGCCTGACGGAATGCATAGCATCCCAAGAGGAAAAGGGTAGAAAAAAGCCAATACTTCACGGGGGAGGCTGGGGCTCCAGCAGCTTTTCCACTAACCATGTGTAACAAATTTATCCCCAACTTCCGCATCCCATAGAGACACGCTTCTCTGTGAATAGCTCAAATTATGATGACCCTGAGTCTGCATCTACCCTACTGGTCAACAAAAAGTCCCATCCTCCATAGGGAGCCGCCTCACAGGTGTTTGGGCCATTCCTCTAGAGCACCCTAGGAGCTGCTGGAGCCAGCAAGGGTCTTGGCCCCCTTGAGGTGCACTGTCTCTTGCAGCTCCTAACTCTGCTGTTCTTCCCCTCCTTGGTGCCATGGACACAGACTATTTCCCACACACCCTTCCTGAGACAAGATTATAACTTGGCAGACTTTGCTAATGGTTCTTGGATGGGGAAATGAAATACAAAAAGTGTCTTGAATTAACTACAGCCAAGGATGTAGTTAATCTCAGAGCCCATCAACTCAGTCTCAAACACACAAAGGCCCTGAAAAGTTATGTCCCTTCTTGGCCATAGGGCCACCTGCACATAGCAGGGGCAGCTTCCTCAGAACAAAGAAGAGTCTAGTTGCACACATCAAAGGAAATAAATTCTCCTTCCCTCCAGTAGAAGACCTATTGCCTAAGTCTCAATTGCCCCGCATCCAGGTGCTTCCCAGGAACATAGCCGGTAGGGTTTTCTATTCTCTTCAGCAGAAACACAGCCCCATTCCCACTGATGACATAGGGTATTCTGTCTAAACCTTTAAATACAGAATTTTCTTTTTAAAAAGTGTCTGCAGAGGCTGGGCACAGTGGCTCATGCCTGTAATCCCAGCACTTTGGGAGGCTGAGGTGGGTGGATCACTTGAGGTCAGGAGTTCAAGACCAGCCTGGGCAACATGGTGAAACCTCATCTCTACTAAAAATACAAAAAATTAGCCAGTCGTGGTGGCACGTGATTACAGGCTGAGGCAGGAGAATCACTTGAGCCCTGGAGGTGGAGGTTGCAATGAGCTGAGATCAGGCCAGTGCAGTCCAGCCTGGGCAAGAGCAAGACTCCATCTGAAAAATAAAATAAAATAAATTCTGCAGAGACCCACAGATGTTTCACCTTACCAAACAGAACATTTAGCTTCTTCCTGTAAAACATGAAGCTGGGTTATTTTACAGTTTTCTTTTTTCCCCCCAAACAGAGAAAGGGCATTTTCTTCTCATTTAGATGTAACTAAAAGATCTATTTGGGAAGTTCTTCTGGACAAAGGCAAGAATGTTTAAAATTTTAAGCTTTAAAAAATCAATTGCCTATAAATCCTTAAAGGTAGACAGTCCTCATCTGAGTAAAAAGGTTCCAAGAAGAAAATAATTAGAAGTTTTTCTATTAAAAATTTTATAGTAAATAGCAATCCCCAAAATTGAGATTTTATTTTTGAAAATCAATACAAACGAAAATGATGCATTTTATTTTCTACTTCACAGAAGTGACATTACCATAGGCAATCTGTAGGACAAAGCATGAATCTAATATTGACTTTTCAAAATGTGGTAGCTGCAACAGCTCCAGGCTTCATGACTTTGTTCAAGGCAGAAAGTGGGGAAAAGTAAGGAGGCAAGTGGAGAAGGAAAGCGAAGCTGTCAAAGAGCACCCAGTGTACATCTCTTCTTTCAAATAAAGGAAAAGCACTTCCCCAGAATCCTTATTCCCTAGTCCATCCCTAGCATTATTTCTCTGACATCCCTTTATTCAGACCTAGATCATGTAGGTGGGAAAGTTAGTACTTCATTTTTTCAAACACATTAGTGGGCAACAGGTTAGAGAGAAGAGCATTGGGACTGACTTTTGAGAGCCAAACAAGTGTTTTCCCTATTATTGATTTCCCCTTCATAATCATTAATAGGTCTTGCTGGGCCATACTCTTCAGTGATTTTATGACTGATCAGAGCAGTGGTTTCACATAACTTACCAAGTTTATAAATTATTGCGTCTTCAGCAGAATCTAAAATAGCAATCAATTTTCATTTGTACACCCACTAAAGATTAGCCTACCAAAGCACTGATCTTGGAGAAGGCTAGATAGTAGTATTATTGGTAAGGACGTTTGAGTGAATGTTTCTAGTAGTGAATAATTTGTGTTGTAGTTACTTTTGTTGTTAGCACGAAGTCAGAACTACAAAACTCAGAAAACAAACATTCAGATTAAAAAGAGCCTCGGAAACAGTTTCTTCTTAGAAGATACGTAATTAAAAACAAAATCTCCTCCCAACTCAGAAATCCTCTCCACAAGGGTAGTAGAGAAAGGAAACATTTGTATTATTGAATAAGCAATAAGCCAGAATATGATGAACATCACAGACAATCCACTAAGAAGCTGCAAAGACAGAAAGGAATTCCACCCTGTCGTCTTCAGTAACTGAAGGGAAACAAACTTCTGTCTTTACAACAGCAGGTCGTTTTGCACATTGGAGAAAGCTGAGGCCACCAAAGTTAGGTCCTTACTCTCCCACAGGAACTGAGAGAGACAGAGGAACTCTCTCCCTAGATGTTTGT